CAGAATAATAATTTATGCCTTTGAGTTGTGGTGTTGGAGAACAGTGCTGAATATCCCCGTACTGTCAAAAGATCAGTTATGTCTTGGAGAAAGTGCAGCCAGAGTACTCTTTGGAGGCAAAGATGTGAGCCTTCATCTTTCATATTTTGGACATGTTTCTTGGAGATGCTAGTCTTCAACAGAAACGTCACGCTTGGAAAAACAGAGGGTCAGCAAAGGAGGGGAAGGACACAGTGACTGCAGTATTAGGCTCAAGTGTGTCAGAGATGACCAGGATGGTACAGAGTAGGACGGGGTTCAGGTCTGTAGATCATAGGGTCGCTATGACTCACACTTAATTAGATGGCACCTAACAACAACATGGATAGCAGGAGGAACTCTGACTGCTCAGTTTGTTACACATTAGGCTGTTGACAGAAAGGTCAGCAGTCAAATCCACTAGCCACTCCAAGAGAGAAAAATGGGTCATCTCCCACCTCCCCTTAAGATTCACAACTTCAGAAACACAGTAGAGGGTTACCACGAGACAGAATTGGCAGTGTGTTTGGGTTAAGTTTTTCTGATGGATTAAGAGAAGGTGTCCTGGAGACACACAGTGGTTAAGTGTTTAGAGCAGCAGTTCATATCCTCCAATTGTTCTGAAGGAGAATGATGTGGCAATAGCCTTAGAAACCTGTTTACATTCTCTGTCCTACAGGGTTGCTGTAAGAACTGACTTGATGGCAGTGAGTGGGTATTGGTAGGAGGTAATAAATGCTATCTGTAATTCAGTTTAACAACATATATTAAACCTCTTGTAATATTTAAGCATTTTAACCAATAGAGGAGGATCGTAAGTCAGAGATTAATTATGGCTTCTGGGTGCCACTGCATAGGCTCTGAGTCAGTGACCCTATGCACAACCAAAAGGAAGCCTGCCTGCTACCACACCATCCTCACAATCTCTGTGTTGCTTAAGATTGTTGCTGCAGTCACACTGTAACAATTCAGTTTGTTAAAGGTCATTTTTCATGGACTCTGCATTTTTCCAAGCATGTTCTCTATGGACTAACCCTACTGTTAAGATGCAAAACACATATGAGATGAAGTCTCAGTAGTGTGTTAGGGAGCTCTGGTGGCATACTAGTAAGAAGCAGTACTGCATTCCCAAAGGAATGTGGTTCAAATCCACCAGCTGCTCCAAGGCAGAAGAATGGGCAATTTCCCCGCATGCAATAAGCTGCCTCTAAAAACCCACTGGAGGGTCAGCTATGGGTCAGTTCTGACTTGACAGCACACAACAACAATAATAGTGAGTCAAAACTGTATATTCTGATTCTTGCTATTAACACAGTGGTTGGGACTGATGATAACATACGAGGTGATTCTTATGAAGAAACTTTGCACTTTCACTATGGCTATCTCTTTGATAACTATTTTAAGTCTTCAGTGGGGAAACAACACATAGTAGAACAGTTCTCCACCCTGGCTGCACAATGGAAACACCTGAGAAGTTTTGAAATAATTATGCTGGGATACTGACTTAAGCCCTGGTGGCATAACTGGTAAAGCAGGGCTGCTAAGTGAAAAGTCAGCAGTTTGAACCCCCCAGGGGCAATAAGTTGCAAAGAAAGAGATCTTTCCACTGCTGGTGGATTCAAACTTCACACCTTTGCACTGGCAGCACAATTTCTTACCACTATGCCACCAGAGATTCCTAGAATACTGAGGAGTTGTGGTGGTGGTGGTGTGCCATCGATTCAGAACCAACTCATAGCTGATCCTCCAGCAGGTTTTCAGAGGCGGTAATTTGCACAGTAGGAGACTGTCTGTCTTCCTGCAGAGCAGCTGGTGGATGGGCCACCAGGGATCCCCAGGTGACTGGGAAGGACTACATAAATGTGAACCGTCTGTGGCCCAGGAAGGAGATTTCGATAGCTTGCTAATAAGGTAAATAAGGAACTATAGGAATAGGGTTTGTGAAATGCAAATGCGAGGATTGGTCTGTTTTGCCATCCTACCAGGCTGAAAAGGAGACAACTTAGTGGCATAAAAGGGGGATCTCGGGAGGGGGGAGGGGTTTGTGCAGGGAGAAGGGTGCAACAATGAATGAATGGAATCCCAAAATCTCTGTAGATGTTCATTGAAATGAAAAATAAACAACCTAAATTTAAAAAAAGGGGGGGGATCTCACTGCCATCAACAAAGAAGATCCTTTGGACCTGATATCCTTATGCTTCAGAAGACAGTTATGACACCAGAGATGGCAAGAAGTGGCAGAGTGAAGGCAAGCAAGCACAAGTCAGACAAATGGTGATAGAATCAGAGACCAGGGTGCGACACAGCTGTGGGCTTCCTGGCCCACAGAGTGAGAAAGCTGAGTTCTGGTGTCTTGCTGGCAGGGTGGACACCTTCAGATCTTTGTCAGAGAGCTAGGTTTGCTGACTTTGCAGAGGAGTGGAGAGCCTTTGGGAAGGGGGTGCACTGGATACTTACACTGGCAAAGCTGAGAGCTTTCTAACACAAGACCAAGCAAGGCAGGAGCCAAGGCCGTGAGGCCAAAGGCCTGAAAGAGGCTTGCCTTCGGCACAACTGAAAATAAGCTATCCTGAATGGAGAACCGTATCCTGAAGAGTTGGTTCTGAACTTGAATTGTAACCTCTTCTTCCCTAACAGACCCTATAATGATGACTACTGCTGTGAGTTCTGTGTGACCAGTGCAACAAATGAATGAACCTACCCAAGAAGTGAGTAGCACCAGCAAGATGGTTGGTGTTAGGATTGGTAAAAAGGTTGGAGAGTGGAGGCATGTCTGACCTAACAGTAATCAGCCTTGTGCCACTGATCCACTGATCTTGATTCTGTCCCTTTAGAAGATGTCAGATGCTCCTGCCTCCATACCCTGTCCCCATAAAATCTTTATTCTCTAGGTCAGTAGAGAATGTGACACAAGGAAGAATGACTGCTCTCCATCCACTACAGATCTTAGTATACCACTTAAGCTTAGTTTGCCAGTCTTAGTATACCACGTTTATGTCAACTGTCAGGAGTTAGGGCTGTAGGGATGGGGTATGCGTATGACTTTAATGGCATGATGAAACTCTGGTGCTGGAATAGCTTTGTCTTTTGGTCATGGTGTTGATTAAGTGGATCTACACATAGGATAAAATGGCATCATACTCACACTGTTCCAATGTTAGCTGCTTTGATTTGTTATTGTAGTATAGTTAAGTTGTAACAATTGTGAGAAACTCAGCAAAAAGTATATTTGACAGCTCTCTACTTTTTTTTTTTTTGCAACTTCTGTGTATATACAATTATTTTAACATATGAGGTTTCTGAAAAATCAAATGCCTACTTTTGGCATGTCCCAAGTAATTTAATAGCCAATCCACTTAAGGTTGGCTAAAAAAGAGATCATTTTTGGAAGCTGTATCTCTGTTTGGTTGTTGTTGTTGTTGTAGTGTGCCATCAAGTCAGGAATGACCCCTAGCTGACCCTTCAGCAGGTTTTCAGAGGCAGTAAATCACATGGGAAGAGACTGCCCATCCTTCTCCCACAGAGCAGCTGGTAGATTAGAACTGCGTCCGCTGGAGTTACAGTGCAGCTTTTTACCTCCAAGGCCACCAGTTCTCCCTGTGCTCTGTTTATTTAGGATGAGAAAAAGGCAGAGGCTTGGAGCAGAGTAGAACTCGGCAATAATGGGGGTGGCAGCAGCTGAGCAAGGGCACCTCTGGCTGTACCAGCAGCAGAGTCAAACACACCGTGAATACTAAACGAGGTCTATAGCCAGTTTCTTCTGTCTTGAAGTGATTCTCAAATGACTAGATCCCATCTGGCTACTTAAATAAGTACACTGGAGAGAGACCTAAATGAGCCCACAGACTAGCTGCCACATCCCTAGACACTGTGACTCAGTAGGTCAAGAACAAGGTCTAGCAATCCATTTTAAAATTATCCTAGTTGACATGAGTTTGAGAACCTCAGATTAAGGAGCAGGTGATACAACCAGATCTCCAATAAGCTCACAGAAGTCAACTTCAAGGGAACTGTCACCAAAACCTTTGATTTTTCATATCCTCAGGGAGACAAGGATCAAATCACACAGATACATCTATCTTTTTCTTAATGCAAAGTATTAACAATGAAATATTAAAAGGGATTCTTTTTTTTTCTATTGCATATATCTTCTTTGTTTCTTTACTAGAGTAGCCATGTAGTTACAAACAAGATCATTTTCTTAAACTGAAGCTTTAGGATTGAGACTGTTAAAACACTGTGCTAAATGAAAAAGGTTTTTGCCTCACTCTTTACCATCAAATCAGAACCAACTTATAGTTGACCCTCCACTGCATTTACACTGAATTATACTGAGGCTGTAAACAGCATGAAATATTGCCCAACTTCTTCCCATGAGCTGCTGGTGGATTTGAACCCCCAGAGAGGTGGGGCCTTTGGGCAGCACAACTTCCTAGGATCTATGCCACTAGAACTCCGTAAACTACCATATCTAAACCTGGTAACTTGACTACAAGTATAATAAAAGCCCAAGGATCTGTCTTACAAAGTAAGAAATCCTGAGGTAGGTGAGTATTAGATTAGCTCCATAGCTCAAGGAGGTAGGGGCTGCCACTCTGCAGTTTTCTTGGCTTTGCCTTCCTGGGTGTTGGCATCTGCAGGTGGTAACATTCACAGCTCATGCCTCTGTGCACCAAAAGCTGAGGAAAGAGAAAGGTGCAGATCCACTAGAGCTCTGCTCCTGTCCCACAGGCCCAAAGAGTATCCTACGTACACTGTTGGCTTCAAAGAAGGCTGGAAATTGAATATATTACTTTTCTTGTCTCTATGGTAGAGACAGGAAATTAAAACAGAGAGGGGCTGCGTGTTGGGTAAGCCAATGGACAATATTTGCAACAACTTTCAAATTAAAATGTTATCAAGCACTGTTTATTTAAGACTAAAAAACAGCTGGTCAAATATATAGCAGCAATGAGTTATCACCGAAAATACTGATACGCAAGTCAGCTATAAAGATCTCCACTGTCCATAATTACACATAGAGATATTGGTCTTTCATTCTCAGTTGGAACTGATTCCAGTTGTTTAAGAACATGTGTTCCTTCGATCAGTTGCCTAATGGGGGGGGGGGGGGAAGAATGGAAATTTTAATTAGTAAATTTTTTTCATTTAATTTATATTTATAAACTGAGCCCTGCCAAGCTATAAACCCATCAAAAAACCAAACCCACTGCTGTCAAGTTGATTCAGACCCACTGGCACTACAGGATGGAGTAGACTGTCCCATCTTTTTCCCCCAAAGTGGCTGGTGGGTCTCAACTCACATTTTTTTTGGTTAGAAACCTAGAGCTTCTTTATCCAAAACCCAAACAGAAAACAAAAAACAAAACCCAAACAGAATCACTGCCACAAAGCTGACTGGGACTCACAGCAACCTTCCATCCATTTTCTGAGCTGTAAATCCTATTAAAAGGAAAGTGCTGATCTTTCTTCCACAGAGTCACTGGTGGATTTGAACCACTGGAAAAGCACAGCCTCTTAGTTAGCTGTGCAGCACCCTAAGGACTGTGCCACCAGTGCTCCTAGTATGTAAGGCTATTTCCAACAAATTATATTCATATCACTCATAACTAGTCTAAATAACTCTATATGTGCCCGCTTTACAATAATTTCGGACTGCAACCAAAATCCAGGCTTCTGTCCTCTGTGGGCCCCCCTACAATAGGTGAGCTTTCTCTTCTGTGTTCTGGCACCCCTAGAATCTGTTCTTTTTACTTCAGTCACAAAGATTTTTTTAAAAAAAGAATATAAATCTAGTATCATCTCTCTGTTTAACACTTGACTTTCAATACTCAGCTCATCATTTTAAGGTAGCTTTCCAGAACTCTCTCCCTCCTTACATTAGGGTCAATGAACACTCTTGGCACCAGCAGTCAGGAAATCAATAGATGAATTGCATTAGGTAAATCTGCTGTCAGGAGCCTTTCCAGAGTACTGAGAAGCAAAGATGTCAGTCTAGAAAATAAGGTGTGCTTGATCCAGGCCAGGTCTTTGCAATTACTTGCTATGCATCAGAGAGCTGGACAATGATTGGGGATGACAGAAGAATTGATGCTTTCGAGCTGTGGTGCTGAAGAAGTCTTGAACATACCGTGGACTGCCAAGAAAACAAATAGGTCTGTCTTAGAGAGGGTGAAACTAAGTTTCTCCTTGGAAGCTAGCATTTGAAGCTCCTTCTCACATACTTTGGGCATGTGGCCAAGAAGGACCCATGCCTGCAGAAGGACATCATGCTAGGAAGAGTGGAGCGACAGTGTGGGAGAGGAAGACCCTGGAGGAGATGGATTGATATAGTAACTAGGTTAATGGGGGTAGGTGTGTTGGAGTCAGAAAGATTGGCTCAGGACAGGGCAGGCTTCAGAGCTGTTGTACATAGGGTTACTATAAGTTGCAGGTGACTTGATGGCACCTAACAACAACATAGTGAAATTAATTCCCTCCCACCACTAAGAGCAACACATACCCCTTCTACCTTATGTATGCTTTTCTTCTACAAGTGGAAATCTTACAGGTCTGTAGTTTGATACTCTTTCCCCGTGAGACCACTGGGCAAAGTGTGGTGTGTATAGGTATAATGTCCCCTGAGGAAGAGGAAAATTCTTTTACTAGAAACCAGAGTCCTGCAGAGAGATTCCCAGTGAGGAGAGGAAATTTCTGCTTCTCTCTGGATCTTATTAAACAGTTAGGTCTTCCAGAAGCTCAAATAAACCTGGGGTGCTGGGAGAAAGCACCTCCTCCTAGACACAGTCCCACGACAAAACTGAGCAATTCCTGGAAGAATCATATTCTTTTTAAGATTACCTACTTATTATGTTATACCTTTCAGTTTCTCCCCTAATGTCTTGTTAGTTTCACTCTGGAATATTTCTGAATTCTTCACGCTGATTTGGCTACGTAGAGGATAAACAGAGATCGGCACACTTGGGCCAGTACAATAAAAGAGACACAGTGCCTCCATGAGGCCAGTGTGGTGATGACAACAAAAAATAGGGTGAGATTACTGAAAAGGATGGGAGAAAGAAGGGCAAAAGAGTGTTGCAGAAGAGTGTTGAACATCACAAGGACAGCCAAAAAAAACAAACAAATACTTCTTGGAGAGGGTGCAGCAAGAGTGCTCTTTGGAGGCAAGAATGATGAAGCTTCGCTTCACATACTTCAGGCATGTTGCTAGGAGGGGTTATTCCTTGGAGAGGAACGTGATGCTGGGAAGGGTGGAGGGTCGGTGACCAAGAGAAGACCCTTGGCCAGGGAGATTGACAGGGCAACTGCCGCGATTGGCTCGAGTATGTCAGGAGGGGTGAGGATGGCAGAGGATACGGCAGGGTTCAGATCTTTCATTCACAGGGTCACTATGAATCGTATTAGACTCACCACCACCTATGTGTGTCAACATTGGACAATTAATAAGAAGTCCCAAAGAACTGATGCCTATGAAATATATGGGCTTGGCAAGGTACACTGAATATACCACAGATTGTCAAAGGAACAAACAAATCCATCTTGGAAGGAATGTATTCAGAATGCTCCTTAGAAGTGAGGGTGGTGAGACTTCTTCTCACATACCTTGGTCAATTAATCCTTGAATTTTTGTTGTTGTTGTTATGTGCCATGCAGTCACCTGCAATTCATAGTGACCCTATGTACAACAGCTCTGCAGCCTGCTCTATCTTGTGCCAATCTCACTGTCTCCAAAACACGTACCGTGACTCCCCCAGGACTGAATCAATCCATGTCATAGAGGGTCTTCCTCTCCTGTGCTGTCCCTCCACCCTCCCAAGCATGACGTCCCTCTCCAAGGATTAGTCCCTCCTTGCAACAAGTCCAAAGTATGTCAGATGAAGCTTCAGAATCCTTGCCCCCAAGGAGTAGCCTGGTTTAACCCTCTCTAAGACGAACCTGTTCGTTTTCTTAGCAGTCCATGGTATATTCAATACACTTCTCCAACACAGAAGTTCAAAGGCTCAAATTCTCCTTCTCTCATCCTAGTCAATGTCCAGCTCTCTGACGCATAGCAAGTGATTGCAAAGACTATGGACTGTATCAGGCACACCTTAGTCTCCGGAGTGAAATCATTGGTCTTCAGTACTTTGCAGAGGTCTCTAAGAGCCAGCTTTCCCATCGCAGTATGTCTTTTTATGTCCTGGCTGCTGGTGCCAAGAGTGTTGACTGTGGAGTCAAGCAAACTAAAGCTGTTAACAGTCTCAATTGCTTCACCCTCCATCAGGATGCTGCCAATTGGCCCAGTGGTGGGAAATCTTTGTTTTCTTGATATTGAGCCTAATTCATATTGAAGGCTGCATTCCTTGACCTTCTGCAGCAAGCGCTTCAGGTCCTTCAGCAAGCAGGGTTGTGTCATCTGCATAAAGCTATTGTTCATGAATCTTCCTCCAATCCTGATACCACATTTCTCCTCA